CCATTGCTAAATGCAGTCCCTGGAGCTGTAGGTGCAGCAGGAGGCGCTGTGGGCAGCCCTGAAGGACTTCCAGGGACCAGGGAGTGGGGTACTCGGGTCTGGGGGGTGGTAGGCAGGCGTGGTGGGTGGAGGTGGGTCTCACAGTCCACATGGCTTTGGCGGATCCTGGTGGCGTCCTGTCCGTGGACGAACTGGTAGCAGCTGCGGCCCACCAGCTCTGAGGGCCCCAGGTCCATGTGGTCGCTGACTCTGGGGGGTGACAGAGAAGAGGGGAGGAGTTCAAGACCACGGGGTGGGGGGAGAGGCAGAGTTGGCTCCAGAGTCACCTGGGGTTCAAACCCTTGCTGTAAAATGGGTGCAATAACAGTGTTGGCAGGGCGTGGTGGCTCACACCTGTAATCCCAGCACTTTGGGAGGCTGAGGCATGCGGATCACTTGAGTTCAGGAGTTCGAGACCAGCCTGCCTAAGATGGTAAAACGCTGTCTCTACTAAAAATACAAAAATTAGCTGGTTGTGGTGGTGCACGCCTATAATCCCAGCTACTTGAGAGGCTGAGGCAGGAGAATCACTTGAACCTGGGAGGTGGAGGTTGCAGTGAGCTGAGATCATGTCACTGCACTCCAGCCTGTGTGACAGAGTGAGACTCCGTCTCAAAACTACAAAACGGTGTCTCTCCCGGGGTAGCTGCGAGCATTCAGGCTCGCAGTGGCAAGGCCCTAGGCACCCTGGAGGCCTCAGAGCATGGGGCCATTTCAGCACTTCATTTGTCTCCACTGTGGAGTGCAGGAGAGGAAATGGATGGGAGATGAGAGGCCAGAGAAATGGGCTGAGATGGGCCAAGCTCTGCAGCCCCAGAAGGAGGGTCTGGACCCAAGACACAGCCCTTTTCCATCCCCGAAGGCACCCCTGGGCCAGGCCTCCGCCCTGGTCCCCTGCCTTCCCTCCCTTCTCCCTATCACCCTGTCCCTCCACTGCTGTCCCGCCTCCCATGGTTCCCCAGTGCCGTACCCTGCAGACCCGGCACTCCCTCCGACTTCCCATGTACCCCCAGATCTCCATTGTGACCCCGATCCACCCACCACAGCCCCCAACCCCGGTACCTGCTCTCACAGGCAAGGATGGTGAGACCCAGGCTGAGACGGAAGACGATCATGTGTCCGTGGAGTGGCAGCTCAGCCAGGGGGGCCGGGGGCAACGTGTGCCCGAGGGCCACAAGGCCCAGGGCGTGGGCCCGAAGGCGTCCAGTCACGTGGATGACCTGCTGGTGGTGGGCATGGTTGGAGGGGCAAGGCGGGCCGGTGGCGGCAAGAAGACCATCACTGGGCTGGGTTCCCGCTGTCCCCCACAGTGCTGGGCACTGTGTGACCCCCCCCAACCCCATTCCCAGACCCAGTTCCCTAAGCCACCTGCAGCCAGTGAAGCCAACAGCCTGGTTCCCTCGGTCACCCTCAGTCAGGGAACATGGCTGGCTGGAATACAGGAGCCTGACTGCTCACACCCACCTTGTACCCCGAGGCCTTGACGTGCAGCCCCCTTTTGGTGAGCGTGGATTTCATGCGGACAAAGAAGGAGCGCTCCTGGACCAGGGAGGAGGGGGGCACCTTGGTGAGGCTGGCCTCTGGGACAGAGAGCGAAGGAAGGTTATGGGGTCCTGAAGAGGAAACACACAGGCCACCCTGACCCTTGCAGAGCCAGCCGGACATAGACACAAGATGCCCACCAGACCACAGCCGCACTCAGAAGCATGCCTGATGACTTTGCAAGCTCATGGGGACAGTATATGGGCTCCCCTATGTGGCAGCCATCCACATCTTTTTTTTTTTTGAGACTGAGTATCACTCTGTCGCCAGGCTAGAGTACAGTGACACGATCTCAGCTCACTGCAACTTCCGTCTCCTCAGTTCAAGCAATTCTCCTGCCTCAGCCTCCCGAGTAGTTGGGATTACAGGCGTGTGCCATCACACCCAGCTAGTTTTTGTATTTTTAATAGAGATGGGGTTTTTGCATGTTGGCCAGGATGGTCTCGATCTCTTGACCTCGTGATCTGCCTGCCTCAGACTCCCAAAGTGCTGGGATTACAGGCGTGAGCCACCGCGCCTGGCCCCATCCACGTCTTTCTAATGCTCAAACCCGCCCCGACACTCCCTTGCTCTGAACCTGCCATAGCTTCCTAGGGCCTTTAGAAGAAAGCCCACCTCTCAAGCCCCATCCTCCAGGTCTCAGCAGAGACTTCTCCTCCAAGAAGCCCTCCGTGACTCCCAGGCTGGGTCAGCCATCCCCTCTGGGTTCCCCTATCCCAGCCCTGCCCCATCTGGGTTGTCACTGTCTGAGGACAGGTCGGTCTCCTCTCACAGGACTGGGAGTCCCAGGTTGGGGGGGGGGGCGCTGGAGCTGTCATGGTCACTACTGTGTCACCAGGACAGGGGCTGGCCCAGAACAGGGGATTGGAGAATAGCAACAAATAAGACTCACAAATGCAGATCCTTCTGTAACCCCCACAAAACAGTCCTAAAAATATACTCACACACAGATGACCCTGTGCCTCAAACTCAGGTACGAACACAGC